TGATATTGAGCAGCATCCTGCCATTCAGTATGCTTGGAGTAAAAATCTCCAAACATAATGACTGAGTCAAATCACTCTTAATGGGGAGGGTTCCGCTAGGGATATAGCAAGAGGCTATAATGATAGACTGGTGTCCAGTCATGGCTAATCCAGTGATAATGGCTTCCATACTGGTAAGCGTCGGAGTGGGGATGTGGCAGCAAAATGAGCAAGCGGTCGGCTCTGTCATTACGAAGAAGTGAATAATTTTTAATAGAGAGGCCTTTAGAGACCTTAGGGCTGAGGTGGGTCTCCTGAAGGAGGAGGAGGTCGGCTTCGCGATCTCGAAGAAAGAGCCTAAGCTCTGGGAGGTTATTTCGCAAACCGCGGATATTGAACGAAACAAGCGACAAACCCTTTGGTTTGATACGACCATGCGATATTGCGGGAGCAGAGGGCTCCGGCATAGTGTTTTTACAACGACCTTAGCATGCGGCTTCCTAGAGCCGGGAAAGTTCGGTCATTGACCTGAGGTGGAGCTTTGTAGCTCAGTAGTGGGTGAGGAGCGTGAGAGCAGCCTCTAAATTTGGTCGGGTGGCCTGTTTGCGGGTGGGGATTCGGCATTTTTGGGCCGTGGGAACTCTTTCGAGTGATGGGGTTTTAGGCACTTAATGCACCTGGGTGGGGCTGAGCAGCTGCCGCGTGCCCATAAAGTTGGCAGCGGTGGCACTGCGCTGGGTAACCGCGCCGATGTGGGGCTTCGACCCTTACACGCGACAGGCCGCACACAGTGCGTACCTCGCGGAAGATGGCCATCGCCTCCGGAACATTGGTGAGAACGAGGAGGGCGAGGTTAAATCTCTCGCCCCTGCTGCTGTGCATCTTGTGCACAGCCTCTATGGGGAAGCCTTGGGACTTAAGGTCTTCCAGAATGTCCTCGTTTGCGAGTTCATAAGGAACTCCGCGGAGGACCGTCTTGACTTTCCTTTCTTCGGCGAGAGCGTATGTGTGATAGGACACACGCTCGGTCGTGAAGAGACGGGTTATATTCCGGAAGTCTTCTATAGACGGCGGCATGATTTTCATGGCCTCGACGACATTGGTGGCTTGGTCATATTTGAAACCCTTATTGTAGAGGGTTTTGGACAGCTGTGTAAATTTTGCCTTGTCTCTGAGAAAGACAGGGGGCGGGACTTGGCTTTTAGCCAATTTGGGAGCGCAGCGGATTGCTGGCTTGGCGGTGGTGTCTTGCGACTGAGAGGCGGCAGCGTTTGGGGCTGCGGAGGTAGGGGCAACGATGGAGGCTGCGGAGGTTGAGGCAGCGGCGGGGGGTGCCCGGGCGGCGGCGGCCGCCGAGGGCGGAGGGGTGCGGGAAGTCGGGGCGCGCTTCGGGCCGCGCTTGGATTTCACTAGCGTGAATTGGACTGTATCGGTGACCGTTCCTTCGGAGTCGGATGACTCCGAGGAGCCGGTGGAGCTGTGGGTGGCCCTCTTCCGGGAGGAGGAGGTAACGGACGTGGTGTCCGAGTGCTCCATATCGGAGTCGGGGTACGCGGGCAAGTCGGTCTGTGGGGCAGCCGCTTGGGTCGCGAGAAAAGCCGCGATGGTGGGCGGGGGGGGGCGCATGCCTTAGGGGCAGGCGGAACAAAGAAATTAGAGACTTGGATGAGGGTGTTCTTGTCGACATCGTAGGCTATGCCTTGGGATTGGTAATATTGAGCGATCGCGGCCGAAATGCACGTGCAAGACCATATTTAATGTCTATGGTAGACATGTTGGTTTGGACAGGGGGGGGGGCTGACGTTTATTCAGGGAAGCACTTGCTCCGGGAGGAACGATGCCTTGTCCTCAAAAGGACAAGGAACATTTTCCCAGAACACTAACTATATGCAGGTAACAAATTATAACAATAAACAATAACAACAATAGAAAAATAATTTAAAAAAAAACAGTAACAGAATAATAACAAAAGAACAATAGAGGCACAGCGCGCTCAGACCTTCCCGCCGAAGCGAGGGGGCAAGAACGATGTGAAAAACCAAGTGATTCACCTACGGCGACTGCACGGCCGGTGTGAGCCGGGGAGAGCGGGGCGCGCGGGCGAGAGGTTGCACTACCGCACGAGGACGGAGCGCGGACTGTATGCACTACCGTTCGGGAGCGGTACGCAAACGGATCTGACCTCCCACCTACCGGGTCCAATTGAGTTTTTAAATCATCCTGGGTCCCATTCAAGTACACACAAAAAAACATCAAAATCAGTTGAAATTTTCGAGTTTTTTCGAGATTCGGACGGAGAGATGGACAACAAATGTGTACGAGCAAGTACATGATATTTCAACAGTTTAGAAAATAATGCTGATATCGCGCCTGCGCGCGCGATACGTTCACTATAATTACATTTTTTATTCATAAGTATTTTCAGTACAATAAACGCTCTCTACGGAAACGGACACAGTTTTAATTACCACATCCCGTAACGTAGAAGATACAACCTACATTAATATACTACATATCAATTATATGTAGAGGGTCACAATTCACAAAATACCCCCTACATTTTGGTCCTTCGAGTTTTCGACGTGAACTAAGACTTGCATATTACGTATACAAAAGTTAAACAGTAAAGTGTTTTTTAGAAAAAAAAAAAAAAAGAGTTATTCGTGATTCTATCTGTAGTGTCACTTTGGTTGCTGGCCTCCCACAAGCGGGTCTCACCAGCTTGATTGAGGTGCATACTACGGTAAGAGTCGCAGTCACACGTATCTGAAACCAACTATTTACAACATCGTTCTTAAACCATGGAGAACCTACTTCAACAACAGAGAACAATCATTGAATCTATCCTTAAAATTGAGGCTAACTTCAAAAAGGATTCTGATTCACGTAAGTCAGGAACATACATACAGAAAAGGTTGGATGCTTTGAATGCTCAATGGGAGATGTTCAACATGAATCATGGTGTTCTAAAAAAAACAGACAGTGACTTGGATGACGACTATTTCATCAATGATACCTACACCACCACAAAGAAGCGGTACGAAGCGATTCGTGACATGCTGACGAACTACGAGGTGAAAACTGCGGAAACTGGAGTACCATCAAGGTCTGATGAGTTCATTAGCCAACAACGCACTAATTTCCGGGCGCTCTCTAGGGTGATTAAAAACATCAACACCAAAGAGTTGACAGAAAAGTGGGAAATTTGTGACAAACTGAATTCGCTGCAGTCTCGCTGGAAACTGATCGACGAGCTCCACTGGCAAATCGATAACCTGACTTCTGGCGGTGATGTAGGCTACGAAGAAGAGTTTTCTGCATACGAAACCTTGTACGAAACTACAAAAAGGGATTTGAATCGTAAGCTTAACTCAGTATCTCAACAGCATCAGCAAGTGCCTACAATTGAGATTCCTTCTTTTTCTGGTAATTATACCCAGTGGCCTACATTCATGGACCTCTACTGTGAAGCCATCCACAACAATGTCATGTTGACAAAAACGCAAAAGATGCAGCACCTCAAGGGCAAACTTAAAGGCGAGGCGGAGCGCATCGTACAGCATCTTACAGTATCAGCTGATAATTACGACACCTGTTGGGAGATACTCACCCATAGGTACAACAACCGACAACTTTTGTTTACAAAACATATACAAACCCTTATGGGACAACCGGCGTTGCAAACACAGAATGCATACGAGCTGAAGAAGCTACATGACACAAGTGTCGAGACCATACATGCTATTCACAATCTGGGCATCGACACAACGACTTGGGATCCGATCCTGGTGCACATTCTCACTGGCAAATTGGACTCCGACACGTATGCAGCCTACATGGAGATCAGAAAGGCTCCGAGAGAGCTACCTTCCTTGGATGAGCTGATAAACTTCTTGGAAAACAAGTTTACTGCGCTTGAACCTGTTCAAAAGAAGAGACAGACACCTAACAAGTCAAACAATTCGACCAACAAGGAGGCAACAGCTCAATTTAAGAAGGACTTTAACAACACCAACAGGCGTAGTTTTCTTCGAGCATATCATACAAGCACAGACAAAAATTGCCCACTGTGTAAAAACAATCATATTTTACTCTACTGCAAGTCGTTTCAAGACATGTCACCGGAAGACAAAATGAGGTCAATTTCGCAACTACATATTTGTCGCAATTGCCTGTACTTACACAACGACAATAAATGCAACTCCAACAAAAGATGCCGCGTGTGCAAAGAAGCACACCACACAACATTGCACGATATTTACCGCAAAGTTGAAATCGCGGTCTCAAATAACGTTATACCTAGCAACAAGCCACATACGTCACAGCAAAAGGCAAACCACGTGTCTGGAAATTATAACGAAGTCCTACTAGCGACCGTTCAATTAAAGGTGATGGCAGCTGATGGATCGACTGTTCAATTGCGATGCCTTCTCGACCAAGGATCACAGATAAATCTAATAACTGAAGATGCTGCGCAACGGCTGGGACTGCAAAGACAAAATCGAAACGCCACAGTCTCAGGCATAGGGACGTCAGCACATCATAGCAACGGAACCGTACGGTTAGACTGTGAGTCTTTGTACGGAGGCCATTCATTTACAATCGAAGCCATGGTAATGGCCAACATGCTCAGCAACCTGCCTAATTACACCTTCGAAAAACAAGACTGGCCACATATTCAGAACATACAACTGGCGGATCCCGACTTCAACATCTCGAGACCAGTGGACGTTCTGTTAGACGCTGGAGTGTATGCTGACATAGTAATGAGTGGTATGCTACGAGGACCCTCACACGCACCCATGGCTCAACAGACAAAAGTGGGCTGGGTACTGCTGGGCAATATCAAAACCTTCAACTGCCACGTGCTCATTAATCTTGACGATGTATCTCGATTTTGGGAGATGGAGGAGATAACCGAAACCAATCACAATCTAACATCAGAGGAAGAATACTGTGAATCTATTTATTCAACCACAACAACAAGAAAAGAAGACGGACGATATGCAGTCAGACTTCCAATGAAAATAAACTACGAACAAACCTTGGGCACTTCTAAGCCACAGGCAATCGCACAATTTCGGCAGTTAGAAAAACGATTGGCCAAACAGGAAACATTTTCTACGTCATACAAGAAGTTTATTGACGAATATCTACAACTCGGCCACATGAAGCCATGCACTGAACACCATAAGCCAAGCTACTTCTTACCTCATCACGGCGTACAAAAGCTGGACTCAACAACTACAAAATTGCGCGTAGTCTTTAATGCCTCTGCCAAGACAAGTACAGGACAAAGCTTGAACGATCTCATGGAGTGCGGGCCTAACCTCCAACAAGACCTACAATCTATGATTCTACGTTGGCGAGCCTTTCAATACGTCTACACTGCAGACATTGAGAAGTTTTACCGTCAAGTACTGATACACGATGAAGATCAACACCTGCAAAAAATTGTATGGCGTGACTCTGCTACAGATCTCATCAAAGAATACCAACTGTGCACTGTAACATATGGTACCAAAGCTGCACCATTTTTGGCAATGCGCACCATAATACAACTCGTAATGGACGATGGACACCGCTATCCTCTCGCGGCAGAGATCCTTACTCACCAGCTGTATGTGGATGACCTACTTGGTGGCAGCAACGACATGTTAGAAGCACAAGACGCTCAAAACCAATTGATTGACCTGTTAAAAGGCGGTGGGTTCAATCTTCGCAAATGGGCTAGTAACCACCCCAGATTGCTTCAAACTTTACCTGAACATCTCATAAGCCAGAATATGTTTGACTTCAAGGACGCAGAGAGTAACAAAACACTCGGCTTAACCTGGAATCCGCACACTGATCAGTTTACATTCAAGGCGCCACTTAGTAACACACGTGACGTCACAACGAAGCGGACATTGCTCTCTGATCTATCAAAATTATATGACCCACTTGGTTGGCTGTCTCCGGTAACAATGAAGGCAAAACTCATATTTCAACAAGCTTGGCTTGCTTCAACAAATTGGGATGAACCTCTTCCGGAAGACATACAACAAGAGTGGACAACCTTTCAACAAGAATTGCCCACTATCAATACCATCGCTTTACAACGCTGGATTGGTAACACTAAACAACCCATCGAGTTACACGGATTCAGTGACGCCTCCGAGAAAGCCTACGGCTGCGTTATCTACTGTAAATCTATTAGTGAAGAAGGGCAACAAATTATCACGCTGGTGGCGGGAAAAACTAAGCTCGCACCATTAAGAAAACCCCCGTCTTTACCACGGCTTGAACTATGCGGTGCCCTACTACTGTCTCGACTTATGAAAAAGGTCATAGAGTCAATAAACTCACAGATTGTAACAATACATGGTTGGACAGATTCTATGATCGTGATGGGTTGGCTACAAGGGGGGCCTTCAAGATGGACTACATTTGTGGCTAATCGCGTAACACAGATCACTGTCATCATGCCATCGGGATGCTGGAGGCACGTCAAGTCTGAATATAACCCAGCAGATTGTGCCAGCAGAGGCCTAACTCCACTACAACTGGCGAATCATCATTTATGGTGGGGACCTATTTGGCTAAAAGACAACGATCTCCCACTTCAAGACCAATTCCACACAACTGTTGAAGAGAAAAAGGTCAAACAAGTTTGCGTGTCACAAAGGTCGATGCCATTAATCGGAGAACTTTTAAACAAACACAGCTGTATGGCACGCGTAACTCGAATCCTAAGTTGGATACTTCGGTTCATAAACAATGCACGTGACGTCAACAATGCCATGCGGTCATCGTACTTAGCAACGAGTGACCTGCAGAACGCACATAATGCAATTATCAAGGCTATACAAACTAATCATTTCGCCGACGACATTGCACAACTCAATAAACATCATAAAGTGCGAATAACAAGCAGCATTTTAAACTTAAATCCATTCCTGGACAAACACGAAATCTTACGTGTAGGAGGACGTCTGGAAAATGCCAACTTAAGTCAAGAACAAAAACATCCAATTATCTTACCTTACAATGACAGGTTAACGGAGTTACTGATCGACCAAGCGCACAAGAGGACCCTGCATGGTGGGGCCAGACTAACTCTATCATATCTACGCAACAGATATTGGATTATCAGCGGTTTGAGAGCAGTGAAAAAACGACTTATACGGTGCATCACGTGTCATCGCTTCAAAACTATCAACAACAACCAACTTATGGGTGATTTACCTCCTCCACGCGTCACACCATCAAGGCCTTTCACACACACCGGTGTAGATTTCACTGGGCATGTGGAGGTAAAGGCTAACAAGGGCAGAGGAATAAAGACAATGAAGGCCTACGTAGCTGTATTTGTGTGTCTGTGCACAAAAGCTCTTCACCTCGAACTTGTCTCCGATCTCAGCACAGTGGCTTTTCTGAACGCCTTGAAACGAATGTGTGCCCGCCGAGGAAAGCCCCGTCACATCTACAGCGACAACGGCACCAACTTCGTGGGCGCAGCAAGAGCATTGGAAAAACAACGAAAGGAGGCATTACAATGCTACATAAACAATGACGTCATAACTAACATGTCAGAGTGGGGCATTGAATGGCATTTTAACGCCCCTTCCTGGCCTACTGCTGGTGGACTCTACGAAGCTGCAGTAAAAAGCCTGAAACATCACCTCAAACGAGTACTTGGGGATCAAAAACTTACGTTCGAGGAATTTTCTACACTGTTGGCGCAGATTGAAGGATGTCTCAACTCTCGCCCCCCTGGTGGCGTTGTCAGAGAATATCGAAGACCTTGACTGCTTGACACCAGCTCACTTCCTAATCGGTGAGCCTTCTCTAGAATCACCACTATCCGCTGAGGGTAATAACATGACCTTCTCTACAAGATGGCAACTTACGGAGAAAATGTACAAGGACTTCTGGAGAAGGTGGTCTACTGACTATCTTCAAACTCTACAAACTCGAAGCAAATGGCACTTCCCTACTAAAAACTTAGAAGTTGGGGACGTCGTTATCGTCAGAGAAGACAACATTCCTCCTGCCAAATGGATCCTGGGACGGGTGTTGGAGACTCACCCAGGTGCGGACGGCCGGGTACGAGTCGTCACACTGAAAACTAAAACAAGTAATATGAAGCGACCGATTACAAAATTGTCACGCCTTCCGTTGGATCCGTCATCTTATACAACTGCATCTTCTGACGTTGACACTACGAAGCCTGCAATAAATACACAAAGAAAACGAAGAAACAACAACGGCAAAAAACACTTCAACAACCTTTTTTGTACGTTACTACTTATATTTTCGATGTGTGTTGGACCTACTACGCAACAAATGATCAACATAACAAGGCTTAGCAGTTCAAGAGTCGTTTATTTTGACAAGGTGTCTGATGTGCAGATTATTCAAGATAAGTGGAAAATGGTTGTATACTACAACATGACGACATATTGGCGGAGTTTGGACAACATACAAAACTATGTCAACCATTTGAACACATTATGCAAGAAGGAAGCAGCCTATCTTACAATTTCATCCCAGTTTCAACACGAACTTAACGAAATTCAACACTATAACGATATCTTACGATCAGAACATGGACCGTCTCGAAGAAAAAGAGGACTAGTGAATGGAATAGGATACCTAGCAAACTCCCTTTTTGGTACTCTGGATGAGAGATTTGCCAATCAGTACGTGAAGGATATCAACATAATCCAGTCAAACGAAAATCATCTATTGAATCTCTACAAAAATCACACATCGATCATCGAAAGTGAATATAATCTTCTAAAAAGAAACGAGGAAGTAATGAACACACAATTTCGTATCATCGACAATCATCTCGCTGAAACGGAAAAACGCATACAAATCAGCCATGACAATGCTATGTACATAACAGCTACCGCTCTGGCCGTGAACTTGATCATTTCAAACATACGACAAATACAACAGCAACTCCTAGACCTAGTAACTGACGTGAAGGACGGGAGAGTTGACACCCATCTCATCAAGCCCAACCAATTTGAAGATCAGCTCAACATCATCTCCGGTCATTTACCAAGCGAGTTATCGCTACCCTGTGTGAACACACGCCATTGCACGCGAAGCCTATACAAGCTGGCGCGAGTGCACGTGCGCTTAACAAGTGCATACATAATATTCGAAGTGAAGCTACCGCTAATAAACAACGAACAATATGAACTTAACCACATCATTCCTATTCCGCAAATAACTGGACACACAGAGAAAACTATAGTACTCACATCTGAATACCTTGCTGTAAACCTAAAAGGGGACATGATAATACCCTTAGAAAACCGAGATGTATCATCATGCTTAAATCTGCAAGAAAACAAAATGTTATGTGCTATCAATCAACCTATTTACAACATTAAGGTAGCCGATACATTATGTGAAGCGCAAATATTAAACAATGGCGACTCATCAACATGCCGCACAAGAGTATTGGATTGCAACGACAGGTGGGTGCGATTACACAATCGTGGCGCGTGGCTGTTCTCCTGTTGCGAAGACTGCACGATGCGCATTTTCTGCCCAGCTGGAGTGACGTCACAGCACTTACACGGCACGGGGATTATGTTACTCGGACTTGGGTGTATGCTCAAGGGAGAAAGCTTCATCATTCATGCTCGCAACGACTATCACAGCGAGTTGAAACTAACAGGCAGTGAAGAAAGAATGTACATGCGTGAATCAAGCCTGAACCACATACTGACAGACTTTAATCATACATTTGGACCTGAAGATCATAAAGACGCCTTACAAGAGCTGAAAAACAACATTGATAAGGTCAAGGAACAGCAACAAACACTGAGTGTACAATCACTCACACATGACACACACAACTATGTGTTGTACACCTTAGTCGGATTTATTATTGTAGCCTTCATTGCATGGGGGACATTCCGGCTGAAAAGAAGATGTCAAGGCTGCAGCGTGAATCTTCGCGACAAGCCAGACCCCAACAATGTCGAGCAGCCAACCCAAGGACATTCATCGGAGCATGGGGTCTCGGACATCGATAGTGTGGATGCGGTGATCGCAACGGCTGCCCGTAAACTCAATAGGGGTTCATCGCCTTAAACTTTCTTCTTGTTTATAAAATTGGCAAGATGTACGAGCAAGTACATGATATTTCAACAGTTTAGAAAATAATGCTGATATCGCGCCTGCGCGCGCGATACGTTCACTATAATTACATTTTTTATTCATAAGTATTTTCAGTACAATAAACGCTCTCTACGGAAACGGACACAGTTTTAATTACCACATCCCGTAACGTAGAAGATACAACCTACATTAATATACTACATATCAATTATATGTAGAGGGTCACAATTCACAAAATACCCCCTACAAAATGATTCTTTATATTTAGTGTTTATTTATTGAAGTATTATGTATTATTATAGACCTTAATTAGAATTGTATATTCGTTAATTGATAAAGGTATCTATATATCTGAAATTGATACCAGGTACTATGATAAATATGGATATGGTAAATGTAAATACATACAAAAACACCAGAATATAAGTAAGATTCTTTCCAATCACTGGTTGTAATTTTACCTTTTTAAATTAAATCATCAGTTGCAACTTAAAGCATTAATTTACCATTTGCTCGGCAGTGAAGAGAAAATAACTTGAAGAAACCTGCATTCGTACACGAAGAATAAAATTTTACGAGGACATGTAAAAGTCCGTCAACGCACATTGTCATTACTCCGTAACCCCTTCAGAAATGAGGGGAAGCCTGTGCCTGTATGTATGAGACATATACATATAGACTATTATAATTAATAGGTCGGGTAAAAAGTTTCGTCGTACTTTGTAAAAAAATGTGAAAAAATCTCTTTGGTTGTACTATATGTATTTGGTTGGTTTTATTATAGAGCATTAATAAATAGAAAAATAAAGAGTAAAAACATATTTCCACCATCTTAAACAATTGTTTTTCTGTCCGCCAAAATGAATGAACCTAACGAAGAAATTCGATATATTTTGAAATTTTATTTTATTTTCTCTACGAGTAAGTGGATCCCTTATTTTTTCCACTTTTCTCTATTCTTGGCCACTGAAATCCAATAGTTCGTCGCATCGTTCACCGCAAACTTTCAATTTTATCCGTCCTTCTCTCTAGTGCTGGTATACAATACAATCTACAGAATTGATTTATAAGCCTCAAAGATATTGTATTGCACTTTCCTCCCGTTTAACATAGTTTCATTGTCACATGATGGGTCACAGTATCCATTTCTCATCAGGTGAACTGGGTGCTCGGTTTTCGACTTCACTAAACCTACATAATTGGTAAAAATAAGAGTTAGTGTTCTGCGCTGTGACGGAAACAGTTTCTGTATGGTAAATAGAGATACAAAAAAAAAACTGAGTAGATCACATACGAGTAGCACTAAATGAATGAAGTGTATCTTTTCTAGGATTTAGACCTTTTACTGTTTTACTTGTGCCATGGTAGCTCAGATGGTTAACGCTCGCTGTAAATATAATAGAACGCGAGTAACCTGGGTTCGATCCCCGCTGGCACTAAAGAAATTGTTAATTGCAATTTAAAGTGGTGATTTACCATGTGCTCGGTAGTGAAGGAAAACATCGTGAGGAAACCTGCATGTCCGAGGAATAAGAAAAAAAATTTCGAAGACATGTGAAGTTCGCCAACCCACATTGGGGCTGCGCGGCAGATACTTCCTAGCCCTAAAACCCTCTCAGAAATGAGGGGAGGCCTGTGGCCAGCAGTGGGACGTATATAGGCCGAAACTTTTACTGTTTTATTGACTGAAAAAAAAAATGGGTTTAATAAGTCATCGAAGCTGAAGAATATGGTGGCGGCATAAGAAGATCTTATATCATCCCGTGGATGTTGTTAGAGCCAATAGATGGAAGTGAAACACGAGATCGACAGGACCATCTTCATGAGAACAGAAAAAATAATAATATGAGCCAGTCTACTAGAAACGCTATATTATACAATAGACTTATAGACTATAATACATGGATGGATGTAACAGAAATGAAGTTTGCTTGAATTCAAATCACATGCACCCAGCACTTTTCTTTATAACTTTTGCAGACTATGTTCAGCAGTGAATTTTTAATAGACTGTAATAGATGGATGGAATAGAAATAAAGCTCGTGAAAGCTCTATGAAAAAAGCGCGATACGAATCACATGCTGTGTGCATCCAACATTTTTATTTTTAATTCTTGCGTAGCAGTTATGAATGAAATTTACTTCAAATTTATGGTTAGGTTTGTATTTACGGATAAATTTCGTAGTTTCTTTGAAAAAATTAATAACTTCGTTTACGTATAACACCAAAATTTTCCTAGACGGTAAAAAATCTGCCGGTATACTATAGAATGAACATAAAATCTTTGGTCATTAATAAATTAAAAACGTAAAAGATATATCGTAGTATAGTTTCGTTTTTCTGTAATCACTGACAAAATACACTATTCAAATTGGAAATTCCTCATTCAATTTAACAGCGGCCAACTTACGAAAAATATACATACATATATTATTCGTAAGTTAGTTTTATAAGTCCTACTTAGGTAGGTAGTATGAACCTGTGTATAATTTTTTCTTTACATACACACACACACACACACACACACACACACACACACACACACACATCACACACACACACACACACACACACACACACACACACACCATAGCGTGTGCACTTGTCTTTTTTGTAGCCGAAGCGAGAATATTCAGAAGTTTAATTGACATGAAGTGTCTTTAAATATACTGGGTGTTTTTTTAACAGTGTGGAAAAATTAGGGTGTATCAGGTGAACGGAATAAAAGCCAATGGCACAGATATTTCACAATTTTTTTACATTAACATATTATGAAATTGAACTATCAATAAATACCACTATTTTAAAATTTGAAACTAAATTAATAAATTAATTAAAAAACTACTGAAATTAAAATAATACGCACCAAATTAGTAGTATTTGTTGATAGATCAATTTCATAATATGTTTATATAAAAAAATGTAAAATGTTTCTAATTGTATAAAACTGTAAAAGAGAGGTCCAAAGTTTAGCAGTGAACTTTTAATAGTCTGCAATAAAGAAATAAATGTGTTTACTTGAACATAAAATAACTATTGTAAATATACCCCCCATAAAGAAACCGATTGGAAACCAAGATACTCGAGTGGCAAAGTCGTGTTGGTGAGCGAAGTGTAGGGCAGCCCCCCACTAAACGATGCAGGATGCAGGAACGAAAATGCAGGTGGCACAAAGTTTTAAAGCGTTTCTTGGGGGAGGCCTATGTTCATCAGTGAACTCTTGATACACTGCAATGGTAAAGGTTATAATAAATATTAACCAACTTAATATAAAAATATTATATCCATCCATCTATTTGTAACTGGATGCCATGGATAGATTAATAATACGCAGATTTGCAGAATGCAGGACAGGGAGCTTAAGATCAGGATTCTACAAAAGAATTGCAATCGATATGATCACATTCCTGTCTTCGACATCTGTCTCTCGGATGCGAGTTATTTCAAATCAATAAATAAGTCCGTTACACTATTAAAATGTTATGTGTGATATAATATGAAAAATATTTCATTTGACATTACGTTGTGAATCATATATTTTTACGTAACGGTTATGTGACAAAACTGCTAGGTCAGCGTAGTTTGTCAGCACCTTGTCAAGAGGTGTTAGTGCTGTGTCTCGGCAAAAATTGAAGGTGCAAAGGCCCGTTTGTGCACATGACTTCATCATGATACGGCGCCGGGTCTGGGCGTCTCCCGTAAAATAACACCCATTAAAAGGAAGATGGAAAACAGAAGGACGCGCAAAGCGTTGCTGCCTGGAGGTCGCCAAGGTGCGTCTGGAGCTGGCGCTGGATGCGACAGCTTGCGAACCGCCAGCCGATTGCAAGGTGTTATACGACCACCCAGCAGCTTCTCGCATCTATCATCCCCACCTGCTGGCTTGGCGTCTTTGCGGGCCCACCAATCGGAACCCGGTACTGGTAGAGTACGCCGCATGAGTTGGACAATGCAGATGAATAGCAACGCATTACGGGCGTATTTTAGGGCGAAGGGGGGAGAAATTGGAGGTTTTGCCTGTCGGGCTAGGATATATTGACTTTTTGCTGAATTGGAGCCATCTATAATCGTCACCGAGCAAAAACTGTTGGACCAAGTTCGGTATATCTTGCGCTCAAATATATTTGATATCGCTGAACTCGAACGGCTACGACGTGAGGCTGTTCTCTCATCGGATGAAAATACTACGGCTGAAGATGCTATGCCATAAATTGCAAAGTAACTCGCAAACATGAATGCGCCGTGAATACCTCAATTATGGTTGATTCAAACGATAATGGAACAGTCGCCCAGGAACTGGAACTAGAGCAAATGAGGAGTATATTGGGATAGGCGATTGTGGAAACGCGCAGTAAGCCTCTCAAAAATCGACCGCGACTTCCCCGCATAGCCCTAATCAAGCGGTATGTCGTGAGGGCTTGCTTGAACCCAATTCTGGTGACCTATTTGGAAGACAGCCGGGAAATTTGCGAGACGGACTCAATTCTTTTAGGTACCGCACTGGCAGTCTGCCGTAGCATAGGTGCCAAACTTTACACGGCTGGCCGCACTTCTGGACAAAGTGGCGCTATCTCAGCCTGGAGAATAAAAATTGAAGAACGTATCACAAAGGCGCCTTAGGGCCCTTATTGGCAGACTGATATGCTTCAGGTCAGGCAATAACATGCCAAGGATTGTACGCACCGTCAAGATGTTGTTTGCTAGGACAAATGTCAGTTTTTTTTCAGCCGGATATAACGCGAAAACTGACGAAGCGCATAGACAACCCGAAGAAGAGAATCGCTGCTTGGGGAAAGCTGATTTGGTGATATACCGAGAGTTCGTCACGGTTCAACCAGAATCGTCTTTTCCAAAGTGATCAGAAGTGGCTCTATAAATCATTGCAGCGACTAATGATAAGTGGAACGGGCCCAGCACCGAAACAGGTCGGCACTGTCCCATTATGGCGTGCCCTGTAGTCGGATTCAAAAGAC